AGTGTTTTGATGTAGCAATTATGGCTCAGATATTTAATATTCTCAGCAATGTGCAATGAATAAGCAAACTTATGTATCTGCAGTGTTTTTGTGGCTGCCTACTAAGGGCAACTGCACTTTTTGTGGCTACCAACTAAGGGCAACTGCACAAAAACACAGAAATTAAAAAGTTGCTATATTCATCGCATAAATTATAAAGTATATGTCACAAAAGATGAGTGACTGGAGTAAAACATGAATTTGTCCAAAGGCTACCAGGTGAATTAAAAAACAGTAGCAAAGCAGAGACCAATTAAGAGAATAGGATGAGATTAAGAACCAGAAAAATCAGAAGAGAGAATTGAGGAGATGGAAGAAGATAAGAAGATTGAAAAGAGACTAGAGGCCGGCTCCGCACTTTAATTAAAGTGGATGAAAAACATTGTCTTGAGAAAGAGAGGAAAAACAAAGAAAAGAACAACACAGTGATTGCATTATAGAATCTGCAGCAATGAGAGCAAATGTGTACGTCAATGCTTGAAACTTAAGAATACTGAAAAAAAAAAAAAAAAAAAAAAAAAACAAAGGGAAGGAAAACCAATATATGATACATGTAAATAAATTTTACTGTAAAGACCTAATGCAATATTGAAGCTAAAGGGCGGAGAACATGAAAAAAGAAGACAAAAAGGACTATATTATACAGATAAGTAAATGTCCCTTGCAGTCCATTCAAATATTGAAGCTAGAGATAGGAAGATTTGAAATCAAGTAAAAATGAGGAGTTTGCAGAGTATAAAAACAGAATGGAAAAGGGAGGACTCAGCCTCCGGAAGGAGGTAATGTCGAAAACAAAGAAACTATATTAATAGCAATCTCTGGACAAATCATATAGAACTCAAAGTATGGGGACTTTAATTCTGATCATCATCGCCATTAAACAAAGGAACGAAAAAATAAGAAGACTAAGTATACATAAAGGGCATGAGATAAACATATTAGTGTAATTATCTTGCTCATAAAAAGCGACAAATTGCAAGATTTATCAATAGAACAGTCATGAATACTATGGTTAGACCGAGATTAGCAACATTTATTAACTGTGAAAAGAAATGCTCACCAATCTTATAAACCGGCAAGATGCATTTATAGAACAGCAAAATCACGTTGGAAAAAAAAAAATAAAACAAAATCGAGACATTAATAGCAGCACGACAACATAATATATTGAATATCAGTAAGAAGCATTTAAAAGGCATTAATGGAAGTTATTAAGAATAGCTGGAGCACTCTGACACTGGTGTAAGCGTGAGATAACAACCAATTACAGGTGAACAGGGGTGGTCAAAAATAGAGTAGTACAAAAGCAAAAGACTAATGGTTGGGAACGGACTCAAACAGTAAATGATCACAGGTGAGATAGAAGAAGAAAAATGTCAAGCGCAGGAGAAAAAGTGAGAAATACATATGAGAAATTGATATAGAGTATGAGCATGAATAAATAAGAAATAAAAACGCATAAGTAGTAAACTAAGCACGAGGAAGATAAATCTGGAATCCAAATGAAAAAAGTAGCCTCACGGTAATTTTTAGACAAATCATACAACACTCAATGGATTAAAATTATTTATACTCACCATCGCCATTAAAAGGGGAAAAAAAGGGAGGAAGAGAGCATATAAAAAGGAGCAAGTAAAAATAAAACGTGCGAGGTGAAAATATGACCAAAAAATGAAGAATTTTGGATCTAATAATAAAAACAATATTGTACTTAGAATAAAAGAAGAAAAAAAAAAGAAGGTAAAAAGAAAAACTCAACATACCTGCAACAATAATTATATAATAGAGAGAAAGAATTAAACAAAACGGTACAAGGATGAAAAATGAGGAAAATTTTGTCTCCATAAGATTCCAACCTATTTCAGATAGTTAAAGAAGGAAGACTGACCTACGCATTTAATACATTTGCTGCAAAATATGTACAAATTATGTGCTGATAATACAAATAAGCAGTAGAAACACCACAGCTCAGCAATTTAATAAATTCAACGCCAAGGAATCAGGATTTAGATACATGCGGTAGGCAAGCAACGGCAAAAATGAAAAAATCCGGCAAGAAAAAAACTGCATGAAATAAAAAAACATAGAACTGTGATTGAATAAATCAGAGGCAGGGAAATGAAGATTTACACATGCAGCGTACAATGAAAGAGGGAAATTAGCAAATCCTGCACAAAAAAAATAAAATAAAATCAGAGAACAAAAATTTTATAAAAAGTATCATTACACAATCGAAGCTATTACTCAACCGAAAATCACAATGCATATGAATCGCCAAAAATTTGTAAAAAAAAAAAAAGTGAAGGAAGACAAAAAAAAAAAAAAAAAGAAAGACGTGAAGGAAGCAAAACAACGGGCAAGGAAGGAAAAGAAGAACTATGAAATGAACACATCAAAACAAAAATGGCCGTTGAATCCAGAACAAAAACAGGAAAAAAGAATCAGCGAGTCCGCGGCGATGAGAACAACATAAAGCGGGAAAAATTCCCAAATCCAACCACTAAAGGAATCCAAAAGAGAAAAGGGATAAACTGGCAAGATTTCCACCAAGATCACAACGAACAATCCGCAAAGACGAAGGCACAAAGCAACGAATGCGAGATCTGTAGGAAAACAAAAGTGAAGGAACGAATCAAAGGCAAAACGGAAAAGAAAGAAAGGGAAAGAGAAAGAACTAAACGAAGGAAACAATGGAGAAGAAGCGGCGGAATGGAGAGAAATCCAAGGGCAAAAGGGCACAGAGGCAAGCCAAACAATAAAAGGACCTACAGGTAAGATACAAAAGGCAAAGTGTCAAGTGAAAAAATAGAGCAGTAAATTATCAACAATTAACTAAAGTAGTAAATAAGCATAGGTGAGATAGAAAGGGAGAAACGTCAAGGGTAAGGAAAAAAAGTAAGAATACCAGTAACAAATTGATGTAGAACAACAACACATAAAAGCAAAGAACGAGGAAGATAAAATCTACAGTAAATAGCCTCTAATCACATAACACGTGGTAAAGCATTGTCGGTTAATAAAAGCTAAGGAATTGAAAACTTCTATATTAACTGACAATAAAAACAATATTGTATTTAGAATAAAAGAAGGAAAAAAAGAAGGTAAAAAGAAAAATGCAACATACCTGCAACAATAATTATATAATAGAGAGAAAAAATTAAACAAAACGGTAAAAGGAAAAAGGATGAAAAATGAGGAAAATTTTGTCTCCATAAGATTCCAACCTATTTCAGACAGTCAAAGAAGGATGACTGACCTACGCATTTAATACATTTGCTGCAAAATATGTACAAATTATGGGCTGGCAATACAAATGAGCAATAGAAACACCACAGCTCAGCAATTTAATAAATTAAACGCCAAGGAATCAGGATTTAGATACAAACGGTAGGCAAGCAATGGCGAAAATGAAAAAATCCAGCAAGAAAAAAACTGCATGAAATAAAAAAAAGATAGAACAGTTATTGAATAAATGAAGGCAGGGAAATGAAGATTTACACATGCGGCGTACAATGAAAGAGGGAAATCAGCAAATCCTGCACACAAAAAATATAAAATCAGGGAACAAAAATTTTCTAAAAAGTATCATTACATTATCGAAACTATTACTCAACAGAAAATCACAATGCATATGATTCACCAAAAATTTATAAAAATTAAAAAATAAATAAAAAAAAGCGAAGGAAGACAAAAAAATAAAAAAAAGAAAGACGCGAAGGAAGCAAAATGACGGGCAAGGAAGGAAAAGAAAAACTATGAAATGAACACATAAAAACCAAAACCAAAATGGCCGTTGAATCCAGCACAAAAACAGGAAAAAAGAATCAGCAAGTCCGCGGCAATGAGAACAACATAAAGCGGAAAAAAATCCCAATTGCAACCACTAAAGGAATCCAAAAGAGAAAAGGAATAAACTGGCAAGATTTGGAAGATCATTAAAAATCTTCATACTAAAATAAGGTAATTCATAAAGAAAAACGAGCAGCCTATAAGGTAGCTTCTATCTTGGAAGTGCACAATTCTGATCAAGAAAATCCTAATCTTCAGCCCTTTCGTATATAAATACATGAGAAATAAAGTCAAACTATAATATATAAATATAGAGAAAATTACTGAACTTACGCTTAGAGTACATGAGTTTAGATTTTTACCATTTATTTTTGTTTAATACCCTTTTGACTAAATTAATATTAATCAAGAGTAAGAGGTAAAATTCCGTATTCATCCATGTAATAAGGACCATTCCAAGTCCTTAGTTTTTCAAATTCGAAGTTATATTTTCTGGTGTCAAGACCACCACTCCAGCGCTTTGCTTGCATTTTTGTAGCCCCAAATGTTGACGGCATAATGGAAGCTTTGCATTGTTGGACTGCACTATATGAAGCAGAACTACAATGTTTACAATTCATCTGGCAATAGCCAGGCTGTTCGAGAAGCAAATGCCATCAATTCGTAGGTCGTGGATGCTTTAGAAGAGTTGATTCTGCAGGATTCTTCACGATGAGATTCACGGGGCAAGCACGTGACACGACACGAGTGAACAGAGTAGCAAATTAGATAAAGAAATCAGTTTTGAAATCAAGAGGAATTAAGTACTGAGAGGAGTTTGCATTATCCGCATAGGGAATCGTGGGATCAATTTCTTTTCTTAAAACTCGTATTTCGGGTTTGAGAAATTGAGAGATTAATAATATTGTACATATAATATGATTTCTTAGTGGATTCATCTAACGTATGGTCAAAGTGGATGTAGGACACGTTGTCCGAACAACTATAAATTGTTTGTATCTTAGATGTAAAAGACAGTGACTATTATTATTATTATCATTATTAATATTATTATTATTATTATTATTATTATTATTATTATTATTTCGGATGGATAAACAACAGCGATTTAGAAAAAGCATAAAAACAACAATAAAAAAGGAAATATAAATGAACGACAAAAATAGGGGAAAGCGACCACAATGAAAAAAAGAACATAAATACTAAAACTACATTAATACCTCAAATATAGCAACTGTAATAAACGTGAATATGTTTGTATATCTAATCTAATCTAATCTGAAAAATATAAAAGAGTTAAAACTCTTTTCTATAAAAGAGTTAAAACTCTTTTCTATGACACCCCTACTCTTATCTTTTTCTTCCCCCTTTTTTCCACCAAGATCACAACGAACAATCCGCAAAGACGAAGGCACAAAACAACGAATGCGAGATCTGCAGCAAAACAAAAGTGAAGGAACGAATCAAAGGCAAAACGGAAAAGAAAGAAAGGGAAAGAACAAGAACAAAACGAAGGAAACAACGGAGAAGAAGCGGCAAAATGGAGAGAAATCCAAGGGCAAAAGGGCACAGAGGCAGGCCAAACAATAAAAGGACCTAAAAGCCCATCACCATAAACGGGGGAAAGCAAAGAATAAGGGCAAAACCAAATGAAGGGGGCGAAGAAGACGAGAGAATCGAGGAGAAAAGGAAAATAAGAGTTGCAGGGGTTGCGAAATTACCAAAAAGGAAAACCCAAGAAGCCACCGAAAGACCAAAACGCCCTTGCACTAGAAGAAGTAGAGAACAGTAAATCGAGGGCAAAAGCGTCATTTCACTGTGGAAGAAACAGTGAATTGTGTCTGCGTTAACAGTAATCCCGAGCTCTCCTTTAGATTATTTATAACTAGCCAAAAGCCCGCACCTTGTTGCGGGAAATACTGTTGTATTGTACAAAAAATTGAAATTTTTTATAGTATAGGGCTAGTTTATATATACATATATAAATAGGTAAAGTTTCTAATCCAGTACCGGATTAGAGCGGCACATGTATATTTCTTTTAAAAACATATATATTTTCTTTAAAAACATGTATATAGGTGTTTAGATAAATTATAAGTGTCTCATCACAGTATACATGTTTTAAGAGAAAATATATATGTTTTTAAAAGAAATATACATGTACCGCCCCAATCCGATACCAAATTAGAGACAATTCCTATATACATATAGATATATCTATATACAATAATATAGTGTAAATCAAAAAAGGAACATACCATATAGACAAATAAGTTTTGATTTGAATAGTAAAAGCAAAGAGAACAAAAAATCCAAACATAATATATATACATACATGTATATATATATATATATAGAGAGAGAAAGAAATACCTGATTGAAGAAGCTGAAACGATCTCAGAGTCAATATGTTAGAGACTGAGAGTGAAATAGACTCAAAGAGCGAAGGGATTTGTGCTTGAAAATTCACAACTGCCCACACAAAAAAGCCAACTTAGAAGAAGAGAAAAATGAAGTGAAGAGATTAGCACTAAAACAGTCTAAAACTTTATAGAAAATACTCTGACAATATACATATAATTCATCAATGAGAACTTCTAAAACAAAACAAATGAAGAGAAAAATAATTCCACAACAATCAGATTCGTTCTCTCATTCATTTTCTCTCATCTTTTGGTTTAGAAAAAAAAAAAGTGAAAGAAAGTAAACACCAAACAGAGAAAATGGAAGCTTACAGTGCGAAATAGAGACGTCCCGTCCCTTTCTCGAGCGTTCTTGATAGCCTGACAACAAAACCAACAAATCCCATCAATTTTCAATTCAAAACCAAGCTTTTATATTCCACCTAATTTCAGAATTTAAAATAATAAAAAAATCTCCTCAAGCGTCTTTTGCTTAGCTTCTACTTCACTCAAATCCCTAAGGAAGTTAAGAAAAACACAGTTGTTGAAACAAAACTTCAACATATAGTCGAACCTTTTCAACACAATCTAACTTGTAATTTAAATAACATCAATATTTGTGAAGCAAATCTTCCAATTGTTTGGCTCACACAGCAACAACACTTTGCACATAAACCATACTCCTTGGCACAACCTAACAACAAAACGAACATAACAAAAACATTATAAAAACAACTGTAACTTCAATTTCAGAGCAAACATTTAAACAGAAATAAAGGGCAAAAAGCCTGTAATTTAGAAACTAACCACGACAGAAATTATGGTAAGCCTAACGTACATTGCGTTTCGAACAACGATAGCTGAAACGTTTCAATTGTCACTTTACACATAACTCACCAATCAATACAAAAAATGAATAAAAAAAGAAAAAAAAAAAAGATCAACATGATAGAGATCAAAGCATTTGATGTACCATTTGATCGGTTGATGAGTCCAATATAATAGAGATCAACGCATCTAAGCATGCCTCTTGTTCAAGTACTCCCCTAGTTGACGATAAGTTCATCAAATTACACTAAAAAGTGGATCATCCCAATCCTATTTTTTTTTTTAAAAAACCACAGAAAACCAATTCAAGAAAAAAAAAACAAAAAATTTAACAAAAAAAGTTGTATTTGACTTTCATCCATCTTCAAGATTTATTCCAACTTAAGCACTCCTAGATCTAGCTATAAATCACTCTGTTACATAATTGAAAGTGAATACCTTATCAGATTCTGCAGTAAGGATAATCGCACTTTGTTGAAGCAATGCCTTCAATCTTTCTCTTTGGAAATCCGACAGCCTAATATCAATTGCATTACTAAATAACGAATCCCCCTTGGCTTTGCCAAATTCTCTTCTGAGTAACTTGGGAGGTTACAAAGTCAAAGGTAGAGAATTTTCATCCTCTGATAGCAATTCTACAACTTGACATGTATAGTAATCAAAGTAATCAGGCCCATCCCTATTACATTCCTCATAAACACGTAAAGCCCTTGAATCTTTTAACATAACCAACAAAGCCGTCTACAGCACAAATCACCACTACGCTTATCAGGCAGAAGGGTAACCATAAATCATTAACAAAACTAAAGAACAATCTTTTTCCTTTTTTGAATATAGAAAGCAAATGGCCATTGATCAGAACATAGCCAATGAATCCCACAAACAGAAATTCCATACATATAGGTACAATTATCACCTTGTATATTTATAAATAGGCTTAGCTATGTAATTGATGATTATTGAATACAATTTCAGTATTATTCCCACTCTTGATTTCTTCTTCCTCATTCCTTTCTCAAATTTCTTCCTAATTTCTCTTCTAAATCTCTTCCCTTCCTCTTCTTTTTCTTCTCTCTTTAGTTCCACATCACCTTAATTCTTTTCTTAATAAGAAGAATAATAATTTGGCAAGCAAATAGATAATCAGATAAATGTGAAGAAACCCAATAGATTAAAACCCTTTTCTCACAGAAAAAATATGAACAAATGCACAGGTTTTACCTGTAATATACCAAAAGCAGCACCTTTGACAACCTCCATTATTGGGCGTACATCCATGCCCTTTGGAGACAACAATTTCTTTCTCCGAGCCCTTCCTCTAAGGGTCTATATTTCGTTTCGCATGACAGTTTCATTCATAATGAGAAATCTACAATTCAAAAGATTTTACTGCAACCACACACACACATAACACCAAATTAAAAAAAGAAAAAAAAAACTTTGAAAATGAGAGAAAGATTATGGATCTGAGACATAAAGGAGCATACTTGCAGAATTGTCCCTTGAAAAACGCCATCAACAGAAAAAAGCACAACAATAAGAGGGTATTGTATAAAAAAGCACAAAATTCAAACAGTTAAAGAAAATAACAACAACAACAACAATCAGTGAAGAAAAAAGGGAGAAGAGACAAAAAAACATCATGAAAAGAGATGGTGGAGTCGTACCTTCTAAAGCAAAATAGTTCGAGAATCGCTCCCATTTGGTTGCTTCTGAAACCAATTGATGTTCAAAACCTTTATAAGAAAAAACCCAAAATCAGAAATCAAAAGCAAGAGTCGTAGCGGCAGTGTTGTCGCTAGTTCCAGTGGTAGTACGTTTTCTGGTGATAGCGGCGGGTTTAGGAGCGCAGAGAAGGAGTGTGGAAGAGATTTTGTGGGAGCAGAAATCCCTAAGAGTGGGTGGTGGAGGAGACGATGGCGGTACTGGAAGTTTTGTTGTTGCAAGAAAAAAACATCGAGAAGGGAAGCATTTTTTACGGAAAGGAAAAAATAAAAGGAAAAGAAAGGACCAAAGCTTTCCAGATGGGTAGGAAAAAGACGAAAAAACCCACACAAAAGCGAAGAAACAAAAGAGAGAGCAAGGGCAAAAGCGAAGAAACACTATTTTAAAAACAGTAAACTGAGTGTGGATGAACAGTGCAGAACGGGTTTCCTTTAGAATATAGTAATAATATCTTGTGTATAGTACCTTCAAGATTCATTTCTCGAGGAAGCAACATGAACACGCCTCAAGCTGCCAAAATATCTTATTTCTCTTTCTTAGATGGTTGTGGCTTAAATAAATTATGCGGCTTAAGTGTCGCCCTCACTGGTGCCTAATGCTAAGGCGAACTCAGAAACCAAGGCCAAATGATCGCCGCCTACTTTCTGCATCGAAAACGGAAGAAATTATAAATCGAATTTACCATATGATAGACATTCAACTTCAAAATACCAACACACAAGGCACAAGAAAAGGGGTCACACTACAAACACCAACACTGTCTAGGTGTGTATGTACAAGAGTAATTTGTCCATAATTAGTTGCTCTGTAAGCCTTGTAAGTCAAAACGTCCGGAAACCTTTCCACTAAGACTCGAACTCAGAATGTCCTAATTTATTGATCTTGGAGTTTTCACAGTTGTATTTTCGGTTGCCTCAATTCTTCTATGCAGTGATTGAAAGTGGACATAACTCTAACATTAAAGATGAACCATTATAAATTTCGTATGTACTTTCTTGTCTTTTTTTTATATTATTGCTCGAATAAGTAAATGATCAGGGTGCTTAATCCATAACCATATACTCCCCACCTACTGTATGTGAATGTTAGATTGACTGTATTATAGAAGCTTCATGAACTTTCAACTTAAAAAGACATCAACTAGGGAGTCCACCAGTCCTCTTGAGAATATCAATGGAAACAGTGTCAAGAACCCTTGTAGGTAAAAGACCATTCGAGTACCTGCATGAAAAACAAGTGCTTAAAAATGTTTTCATCATTCGTCATCTCATCCTAAATATAGTCACCACAACTTGGATCATGTAATAAAGTAATTGAAGAACTTATTCACCATATGTAGTCAACAGTTCCAAGAAACTTTGAATGATATGACGTCGCTAAGGGTTCGCCATTGGGTCCCCGGGTTCCAGTTGAACCCTGGACATATAAAATATTGTACTCAGATAATCCATTTCTTTTGAACAATACAAAATGGAATGCTACAATATTGAACTAGGTCAAATGGCAGGTGATAGGGTGGGATGGTTATGGCTTGGATTTGAGAGGGCGTTTGTTCGTTCCAACAGTATATGATAAAGAAAGAAGAAAAAAAAAAAAAGGAACCGGAAATATTGAACTACCAAGTGGTAGAAGAGAATCTGAAAACCTTCACTGTGGCATAGGAACTCTGAAGGTTCAGAGGATGAACAACTACATGGCAATCAGATTTTCCTGTTGCAACTATAACCTCTTCGTCATGAAATGAAGAGCAATGAAACATATAATAATGTTTCCCAATGGGTAAAAAAAAAAATGTAGAAAGGACTAATAACCGTATCAAATAGGCTTATTACAAATTATTTCCCTAACGGGAACTAAGCATGGATATTACAGCAGCAACTTGTTAAAAGAATAATAATAATAAACAAACAAAGGAAAGCTATATCTCTAACCAACACTGATAAGGATATTACCCGTCCATCAAGCTGAATGGACCGCTAAGAGCCTGTTTGGTTTATGAATTAAAACCATGAGATTAAAATTATTTTCGATTTACGTGTGTTTTTTGTGAGACAATACTGTAGCGAACTATGAACCATGATTCGAATCAGAGAACGAATCCTCCAACCAAACAGGCTCTAAGTTCTTGTTTGACACCAAAAACTTGAGCAGGATGACAACTTCTCTGCCCAGATAGTTCTCTTCTATTGTATAACGTAATATTCAACTGAAAATAAGAACAATATCCAATTACGACTGATGCAAAGTATGGTTTTGATTCGTGCTACAAGAACAATCCAAGTTATTTTCCCATAGAGATTGAACCTCGAGATGATTTAAATGAATATTTAATTATTTCTGCCAACTTAGAGAGAGAAGCTCTACCTTCTCTCTAGAATTCTAAGGGTCATTGGTTTTTTGAGGCTTAATTCTTCAATGGTTATATCTTATTAATCACAATGAGATATAAACATTTAGATAAAGATTTTAGGACCAAACACAGTTTTTAATTTCAGGTTAGATTTTTCAGGCAGTGTGATAGAGATTACGGAGAGAAATAGAGTCGAAAGTTTCACGCTTAAAGTGGAATTGGAAGGAGCAACATGGCCATGCAAAGTAGTTGAAGAAGCTTTATGTCAAACCATAGGAAGTGATTTCAGAAAACTCTACAGGGATCATAGCTACAGGTTGATCGTGAATTGCAGCAGGTATGAAAGAGGCGACTTCAGCAGGAATGAAAGAGGCGACTTCATGAAGATTTCAAAGGTCCAAAACGGAGTCATAAGGAATGTAATAGTGCCAGGAGAGAGGGCATAAAGAGGTTGGAAAGATTTTAAGAGGTGCATTAGCAGCTTTTTTAACACAGATAGGAGGCTACAAGTTGTTCAGCCAAGAAGATTTGCAGAAAAGAGTCAGCCAGAAGGGTACTTTCCAACAGCAATAGGAAACAAGATCGAAGATGGAAGAGCATATCCAAAGCTATTTCGTAAAACTTGGAAATTGGCGGTGGTTATATACAGAAACAGATTGGAGAACGATTGGAAGTTGATAAAGGAAGTTATAGAAAGCAAGCTAAAAAGAACAGTCGAGGTGGTTCCAATGGCTGCAGATAGAGTAATAACGTGGTGTCAAGATGAAGAGGGATGAAGCTATTACTGAAGAACAACACTTTGCTGTTCAATAGGAGATATCTAGCAAGATTAGCTCACTGGTCCATTCATTCACACTGGGAATCCATCCAAATTGAAGCCCGTAATGGCTGGATTGGGATTGAGGGCCTTCCTCTTAATATGTGGAATGTCCACAGTCTGAAAATTACTGGTGATGCCTGTGGAGGATTATTAGAGGTTGCAGAAGAAACGCTAAACCAGCCATTTTTAATGTACGCCAAGATCAAAATTAAAGGGCCAACGGAGGGTCTGATGAATCCAATAATGGAATCCCCATGCCAAGGGAAAAAGGTTTCTGTTGGCCTTTTTAGCATCAGGAGAGAGTGCGAAGCAGCTTCAGGCGGCAGAATAGGGGGAATGAACTATAGAAGTTCAGAAGAGTACGCTGGAGAAGATGATGACGTGGAGGATAATTGGCAACGTGCCAATATTCCGACGGTGAGGCTGGTACAGCGTGTCCAGCGGAGGGAATCCAATAATGGAATTCCCATGCCAAGGGAAAAAGGTTTCCGTTGGCCTTTTAGCATCAGGAGAGAGTGCGAAGCAGCTTCAGGCAGCAGAATAGGGGGATGATCTATAGAAGTTCAAAAGAGTACACTGGAGAAGATGATGACGTGGAGGATAATTGGCAACGTGCCAATATTCCGGCGGTGAGGCTGGTACAGCATGGCAAAAAGCCTAGTAGTAGGATTGTCGATTCGAACATCAAGAAAATTTGGAGAATTATGATACAATCTGGAAACGATGGAGAAATCGAAGCCCGTTTAGTTCATTGATTTGAGTTTTTAATTTGAATTTAGATGTGATTTTATATGAGAATTTTTTACTATAATAGAAAAATTAGATATGACTATTTTTAAAAAAAAATTTACTATAATAAAACTCAAATTTTAAATTTAAATCGGTAAAATGAACGGGTCTAAAAAGTCTCTCCACCATTGCAGCCGAGTAGATGAAACGGTGGTGAGTGTGTCACGTGCGCCGACAATTAATAATTGGTTGGGGGGGTCCCACTATAAACGGTGAAACTCTAGAAGATCCAATACAAACGGCAAATCATTTTGACGCTCTTAAGATGCTACAATTTTACGATGAAGAGGAAGAGGAGACCGCTAGTCCATTTAAAGAAAATAATCCTAATGGGCTTTTTTTAGGCCTGGAGTTGGGCTCGCATCATCTAAGGGTTATAAACAGTTCTTTGGGCCTGAATCATCTAAGGATTACAAAAGAATTTTCACAGGTCGATCCTAGTACAAAATCATTTTCACGAGGAGGCTACGTGGGGTTACTTCCGACCAAACCGACTCAAGATAGATATGCAACAATGGGCTAGGGCCCGTAGGCCGGCCTAGGCCCATCCTGACACAATGACAAATCGGGCCGGCACGGCCCGTCACTGTTTAAGGCACGGCCCAACTCATAAATATTGGTGAGCTGGGCTGGGCGAACATATATCAGCCCACGAGCTGGCCGGGCACGACCCATGAAAAATCATGGGTCAGGCTGGGCCGGCCCATCTAGACCCATGATGGACCAGCCCAGCCCGACTCGTCTAGGCCCATAATGGGCCGGCCCAGCCCAACCCATCTAGGCCCACAATATCTTCATATATTTTTTTAATAATTTTGTAAACATCTTATGTATAATTATCCTGATTGTACACTTTTTTCCTTACTAAGGTTTTGTCGCACCGGGTTTTCCTTAGAAAGGTTTTTATTTAATGAGATAATGGTAAATAAAATCTCTTTTCATATTTTTATTGACTATTCAAACTTATATATTTGTTAACTTGTTTAAAAATTCAAAAATTAAAATTAAAATTAAAAAATTAAAAATTACATGCTTAGATAAGCTGGCCCATCTAAACCCATGATGGGTCAAGATGGGCCTTGAGTGGGCCAGCCCATTCAAGACCAATGGCAAGACCCATGACTCGCGACATGGCCTAACCTGACCCACATAAAATTAAGATGTTGTGTGGACTGGGCCGGGGTCATTCTTATACGAGCCGGCCCAACCCAGCCCACGAAATACGTGAACTGGGCTAGTCTGACCCACGGCCTGCGTGGACTTAAAGAGAACGGACTAGGCCGGGCCAGGCCGGCCCGTTCTTGCATCTCTACTCCTATAAAGGTTAACAAGAACATTTAGAATTTGAAAGCACGGGTT